TATTCAGATGGAAGAAGAAAAACTGAAGGGCAAACTATGATAACTCATAATTCTTTTAAATCATATGCTCAATTTATTATATTAATTTACTATATATTTATTTATATTATTTAAACATATTATTATTTATCCTTAAAAGATATACTAACATATGTGATTATTTTTTAAATTGACTTATATAAATTGTATCACTTTTTACTTAATTTTATTTTTAAAACAAATTATTATTTATTACTCAATAAAAATATATTATCTTGTTAAAAAAAAAAATTATAATGTAAAACATTTTTCAAAAAATTATATAACGAAATACTTATATTTATTTAAAGTGCATTTCATGATTTCCTAGTTTAAAAATTCTAAAAAAAGATAAATTTTATATAAAATGACACTTTGCTAAACCCGAGTGTAAAAGCTACAATAATTTCTAATGCAATAGGACATTACACTTCATTATAAGATACCTTAACAATAAATATTATAGAATATATTACAGAGATCGACAATGTGCGTAAAGTGACTTAAACAAAATTGTCCAAAATTTTAGGATAATTAATCAAATCCCGAATAACACCTCTGACAAGATTACAATTTTTTTAAATTTATATCACGTATATTGTTCGAAAAAACACATTGACGTTAACATATACCACATATAGCACTATTAAAAGTTAAGAATATCGCCATATAAGCAGTTAAATCACAAGAATTACATTATATCATGATTTAAAATATTAATAAAAAATATCATTCATAAATGGAAATTTAATCTTTAATGTGATTTCACAAAATTTTCATTGGTTTGTTTTCTATCGGGAAATAAATCTCTATGTATATTAAACAGAGCTAGTTTATTTCAAGTGATTTAGTAATGTCTTCTGCGTTAAGATTTTATTCTCCATTTAAAAAAAAATTTTCTCATTTTTTTTGTAATTGGTATTATTGTAAAAATGTATAGAAATGAATTTGAGAAAAACAAAATATATTTCAAAGTATGCAATGTTTCCATCGGGTTTTTGTAGGATAATAATCTCTCATACCATAAGATAAATTTATATTATCTGAATAAAATTACATATAATTTTACAATATCCTTTTGCAAATCGGATTGAGCCATTTATTAAATTACAAATAGATGATTGCTTTAAAATGAATGGATGATAACAATTGTTTTATAGTAATCCTCAATTGAATCCACACTAATATTGGAAGGAATGCTAGCTTAGGTGTAAATCGAGGATTGCGAATCTCAAGATTTTATAATTTCGATGCTCTCTCCTTTATATTACATCCATATGAATAACTATCCTAAAATTCTAGCTAATTTGGTAAATACTTGTGTATTTTTTAATAAAAAATTTAGTATTATACATGGATTTCCTAGCCTAGAGAAGGCTAGGGGAAAGAAGAATTTTTATTTTGAAAATTTTATTTTAGTTATATTTAAATAATTTTATTCAATAAAAATAGAATTTTTTTTTACCAATATTTAATAATTTGCTAAATTTAAAAAAAAATATGTATTAAAAAATATTTTAAACCACAATGAAAACAAATTTTAAAAAAATGTAAAAATAATGTTAAGAATATTATGTAATCTATTTCTTGCCTCCCTTCCTCCTCCACTACCCCATTAAAATCATAGATCTTTCTGATAGACTGTTAGATTGCTAAATTATACATATTGTCGTCATAATATTTAGCTAAATTTAATATCATAAATTTTTTAGCAATATCAAATTGAAAACAGATATAGCAGTAGCATTGCTTCGTGACTTAAGTAACATATAACACAAATACAATATTATTTAAAATTGTAGAAATCTTTAAAAATTACCAATAAGATTAAATCATCTTTTACATTTTAATACATAGGAGTGAGGTCAAATTTTAATAATAACCCATGAATAAATAATTAAATAATAGTTGCTTTTTAGCTCTTCAACTAATTTCAATGCTCAAAATAGCTCGCAAATATTATTAGCAATATATTTTAGCATTTATCCTCCTAAGGCTTATAGAGGGGTTCTTAATTTTTCAACATCTAAATTAAATTTGGGTGTTTATACCTCTTTAAATAATAATATGGAAATAACATCTTTATATTAATAATTATAATATATCGTATGTCTAAATTTTGCTCTCTAGACCTTCGAGATAATAAATAAATATATTTGGATATTTAACATGGCCATCAAATTGTGATTATAATTATATTCAAATGTCTAGAAACGAATTAAGGATTAAAAACTCTTAGTTTTTGAAAAGTATAACTTTGAATTTATTAGCAAGTTTGTCAGAATATTTCATGTTGGAATTTAACATTTAAAATTATTATTTAGCATCTTGTCCTAATTTATGATTATTTTTTTTCAAATTTAAGACAGATATTACTTGTTGCACTTTATTTTAATTATTAAATCGTTAATCATAATTTTTATAATTTTCAAATGTATTTATTTTAAAGATTTGCTTATTTATGTTTAAAATATTTTCTTTCTTAAATTCATTATTTAGTTCTTTATCCTGATTGTGAGGAGGTTAAAATATAATTGAATAATAAAATCTAATATATTAATTTACATAGGAAAAGAAAGATTACGATGTTCGAGTTTATTCTCTCATCATGAATGCTTTTAACTTAGTCTATTTGGTAAAAGTGATATTCAATTAATCGAAATCTATTAATAAATTATTAAATTATAAGTGTGAAGATAACTCCCAATATATCGATCTTAAAAAAGTTAACATTAAATCTTCTAATGTGAAACATATAATTGAAGTACAATATATTTATTATAAAAATCTAATTAAAAAAAATATACATCTTTTAAAGCATTATTGCAATAATGATACTATTATCCCTTTCAATATTGAGCCAAGAAAGTAATGAAATCTTTTTTAAAAAAATAAATAATTTTTACGTTTGATAGAATACTTGAAGTACTCGCTACAACTAAAGCTGTTGCTGACATATATAATTGTAAACCAAGCTCAATAAATTTGGAAAAATGTAAAACACCGAATTAAACAAAATTACTGATCTTAAAGGAAAAGGGTATTATAATTTTTTTAATTGGTAATTAATTTCAAAAACTTTATTTATAAATCAATGCTATGGAATCGCACAGGAATTTGATATTTAAAAAATGATTGCTTATAATTTTTAGGGATGGGTTTATTTTATATCATAAAAAATTTAAATGAAATTATTCCTTATACTAACACATGAGCATATGAAAATTGGAAGGCCAAGGATGGGGCAGATTTAACATATGCCCCAAACTTAAGCCTGTATATGTATTTCATGAAAACCCGTTTGCTGTATGATTAGTTTATAAATATTGCTTCAGAGATATAATTTCGAATACTAACACATTATATCTCGCATTTTATTATTTCAAACTTAAAATTTATCATTTATAAAGTAAATTGGATATATTTATAATATTATAATATATTATTTATTTATTTTTAATCTTGTTATAGTTATTACTTAGTATATATATACTCATCAACCGATACAAATATGTAAGGCAAGAAAGAATCAATAAAATAATTTAAGATTCATTATTCAAATTCGATGTTCCTTCACATCACTAACCACGAAATATATCCATTATTAATTATTCGCAGCCTTGTGGGCATTTGTTAAATTTTCGCCCCATAAAATAATAATTACCATCTACTAGGTATTGTGAAAAAAAGGTAAATCCCAAAAATATTCATACAATAAATTTGTTTCAACAATCTATTCAATTGGGACTAAATCTAATCAATATTAGTCAAAAAGCCATTATAAAAATATTGAGGGTCCTTTTGATTAAACAAAAAATCAGCTTTGAAATATTACGTAAAATTTCAAATTATTTAAAAAATTTTGGCCGTCCAAAGGGGGGTAATACTCTTTTTTTTAAAAAAATAAAGTATTTTTATTTTTATTTTAAATTTTATTTTTAAATATGTCATATACATAGTTTACATGTTATTTTTTCTATATATCGATTATTAAATTTATAAAAATTTTAACTTAAATCCTTTTATGGATAATATGTAGCACCATAGTTGTTTAGTTACAGTGCAATTATAAAAATAATATAAGATTAATTATTAACACGCGCCAAATAAATATAAAAAAAGTTAAGATAGATATACAACAAATTCATATATATATATCTTTATGAAATGTTATTCCAACATTCTTAATATTAAATCTAATATTAGTTCAATTTAATTAATTATTATTCCAATAAATTATAAAAACATGACTATGATAATAACCACAATGATAATAAACTGATGATTTATTGAGTATGACAGCAGCTTATTAAAGGACTTGATAATGACAATTCGAAAGATAACTACGAGGAATCAAAACGTGATGATCAAGCTGATGACATAACGTTAATATTAAACAAAATGGACAACAGGCAAACGGCTAAGCGACGATTTTTAATTGCGCACAAAATCAAGAACATAGAAAGTTTTTAATGCCCAAGAATAACCTAGGCAGGGTTGTTTTGGAGGGTGGAAATAGATATATTAATTTTAAGTTTTCATTTAATTTTGATGATATTTATTTTATACCTAATGGCAATAACAAAAAAAACTTTTATTTCTTAACTTAAAAAATAATTTCATATTATAGTTTTAATTTACCGGTAAAATTTACATTTTTTACTATTTTGTCACTTAAGTTAAATTCGATATTAAACGAATAACTTTTTATTTTTTGATTTTCCATAACTTAATAATAGATTATTATTTGTTTTTTTATTGTATATTATATAAAGAACATTCTTTTGTTAATTTTAGAGATTATATATTGTGATTACTCTTTATGCGCCTATGATTATTGATTACTTTTATGTCCAATGATTCGCAAATTAATTAAATACAGAGACTTCAAAATTAATACTAAACCAGAAATTTATATAACGAAACGCTAACATTAATTACCTTCTAAAATAGTAAAATAAATTATTCATAGTTATAATTATCATTATTAATATTTTTTAGCTTTATATAATAAAAAATATAATTCAAATATAAATTTCTAATAATATTATAGCATTTTTAAAAAAAATATCATTTGCTTATTTAAACTTTGCCTTTTTTCTTGTAAATAATATTATTGGCATTGAAATTTTTAACCAATTTCTTTTCAATTGACCTAAAAAACATTACAAGAAGAATCGCAAGTCCCCCCTAGTACTTCTACGCCTAAAAAGAAACAATAAAGATTATTACTATAATATATTATTTACATTAATCGGTTGTGCAGGATACTACAGCTCCTATAAATAATATAAAGAATATATAAAATAATATATTTAGAATTAAATTAAATTATGTAGAAATAAAATAATAATATTTTATAAATAAATAAACATTGTTAAATTTAGTTTTATCTTAATTGAATTGTGGAAGTAACTCTTAAAATCTTAATATATTTTTGTCTTGATCCGTTACATTTTGTGTATCGAAATCAAAAAATCTAAATTTTTTGATACTTTTTTTCTTTAGGATGATAATTAATTCTCTATTTTTAATAAAAATAGGAGTAAAATTTATTTTTACATCATAAATAATAAATTGTTTAAATAAATAAATCAAACTGTTTATTTAACTTTTTCCTATATATGTGTCTTAGATTATTTATTCACTATTTAGAAAAATTTAGAAATCTAAGAAAATTATTTAAATTTCCAGATTAAATTTTAACAACTTTTGAAATATTTAAATTGTTTTGACATTTATACTTTTAAAAGTAAGACTAAAGAATTGTTATTCATTGTAGGGCAAAAAAAAATAATATAGCATGTATAAAAAAAGGTAATGGAAAGATCTAAAGACACAAATATTTGGATAAAATTATAAGCTGTACTCTACTACAGGGATCTGGGTATATTGCCACGTTACTATCTCGACTGTAGCAAAAGTTAGGAAAATCTCTGGTTGATGATAAAAAAACTCTGCATCTATCAATCATTACTAGCTAAACATCGTCTCAGTATATGCTTGCAAAGTCAGATAAATAAAATTTTTAAGATATGCTAGTTGATGACTACGTTGTAATTCCTTATTGCACATATTAATGTAGATTTAAATGTACATGAATAATAAGGAAAGTCTTGAAAAGTTACCATAATTTTGAATCTAGAAATTAAATAAGGAAGATAGCATATATTGAGGTTTGAGAAAGTCTTTGACCTTTCCTTAACCAATTGGGATGTGAACCCTGCCCCACATTTTTGCCGAATCCTGAACAGGACCTAGACCCTTTTTAAAAGTGAGGGTTAGAGGTGTCAAAGAACTTGTTATTATAAATTCATGAAAAATAAATTTAAAAAACTTTAGGAATACCTTGCTTTTGTTTTACTTTTTAACTGTTAAGTAGTTGTAATTGTTTTTTTTTATTCTCCTTTAAACTATTTGTTTTTTTTGTTTTGGTAATGACATTCAAATTTTAAATTGTTTTTCATTTATTTTGTTAATGACATTGAACTATACAAATTTTAATTGTTAATGACATTATACAAGTTACAAATTTTTTTATTTAAACAACGAATTTTATTTTCATTTTCAGTGAAAAATAAATTTGATACTTTAATAAAATAAACTTGGTTCATGAATTTATTAAAATATATTATGGGATTCTTTAAATATACCTTATTCTTTTTCTTCCCGAATATTATGTCCAATTCCAGAAAACAACAATATCTTTTTTAGAAAGTGAAATATTCTGCTCACAGTTTCAACTGCGTATTTCCAAAAAACTATGGATGAAATATTTTCTGACTTAAAAAGGGTCTAGGGTTATTTAGATAATTTTTTTGGTAAAGATACCTGAGGATCACTTTAACAAATAAAAAAGGTTTTTGAAAGAATGGTAGTATTTGGTTTAATAGGAATTATTAAGAAGATGAATTTGGTAAAGATAACATTAAGTATTTGGGTTAATATGTAGTAAAGGCATACAGCCAATCAATGAAAAAATTGAACAAATTAGTATAATAACTAAACCCTAAAGATAGGGATCAGTTATAATCCTGGTTGAGACTCATGAATTATTATTCCAGGTTTATCGTTTTTCAAAATTGGCATATAATTTATATGATTTTTATACAGACCTTTGTTAGTAGACACCGTAAGAAATTTTAAAGTTCCTTTAGAAACAGGTGTAATAAACTGAAGAAAAATCTAAATTCGAAAATAAATTCATTTTTAACCTTAGCAATAATGTTAGTGATCCTTGGTAGGGGATATTAAAATTTTTCTAACTGAGGATTTACTATAATTCTAAAATCAGCACTAACTAGCATTTAGCCAAAACTAATGTAGCCCATTGCGAAAATCTGACAGGAGTTATAATATCTTTTTATTCATTAATTTAAAAAATTATTTTATGAAAAATAAATAATCCCGCTTGAGTATTTTACAAAAAAATATTATCGTTTTTTAACGGTAAAAAAATGATAGAAAAATATAATTAATACTTAAGAGTACTTTAATTAATGAAAATTTTACCATATATATTAAATAAACTAAGAGGGATTAAGGAGTGTTTCAAAGATAATTCCCTTTTAGGATTTCAATTTAAGTTATTTGTTTGAGGGAAAGGTACTACTTTTTAAACCCCATCCTTATTGGAATTTTTCTATCCCACTGATTTAAAATTTTAGGGATTGGGGACAGGGGATCTAAAGAAATAGAGGGACAAAAATCTTGCGTAAAATATTTTGGCTGATTTTTAAAGTTCATAATAGTTAGGAATAATAAGATGAAAAATCGAATCTCATGACCTTCTTCTTTCCCATATTATTTTCTTCTAAATAGAAGTAATTGTAAAAAATATCCGTAACTTTTAATAAATTAGCTATTCTCTTTAATATTTTTATTTTAGTATAAATTCAGAGGGGTAGCCAAAGCTTTTCCTTATTTTTTTTCTCATAATCCTTGCAGGAGCGGAAAAAATTTCCGAGTCTATCTAGCGCAACCTAGTTTTTTTTCCAAAAAGTCTCAATACATTATAATTTTCCTTCACATTATTTATATCTTAGAAAATAAAAATTATATATATAGTAGAAAATACAAAATATAGGCAATTTATTTAAAAGTAAATAGAAGGGTAATATAATAATATATAACATAGCATACCTAGAATTTCTATTAATTTTCCATATTTACAATTTTTTTTTTCAATTCAAGATGTGAGCTAAATTTGCAATTAAATAATACATTTATAAATTTTATCCTGTTTTTCTTGTTTGATATTCAACGTGTTAGAATCACTAATTATGTCCCCCAGAATGGCAAAGCCAACTCTAAAAATTTCGAACATATGGCTCTAAGTTTACTTATACAGACGGATATTATTTTTTAGTATAAATTCTTAGTTAAACCGATATGAAGTTGGTTATTCTATAAATAAACATTCTGGTCTAATAGAGATTATTTTATTATTTATTTTGGAGATTCACAAATTTACAAATACATAAGAAAAATGACCCTGGAAGAAGAAAATAAAGTACAGAAAAATTTTGTAGCATTTGTTGTTTTGTTTAGAAATTGAAAATAAAACTTGAATTATTAGACATTTTTCTTCGGTTAATAAAAGAAATGAAAAAATTATTTTGAAAAATGGTTAGGTCTCGTTACATTTACTGCTGTCTTGATTGGAATATTTATCACTCGGAATCTTTTTTTTGTTAAATAATTTAAAAATTATTTCGAATCTCTTTGAACATGGGAATTCGTTATAAATTTTTTATATAAAAATATTATATATTTAATCTTAATTATTATGTTTTTGACTAAAATTTAAATTCAAAAAATAACAATTTGACTTCATTATTATTTTAAAAAAAAAATTATCAAATTTTGACTCTTATTTTTATCCCACTGTTTAAAAAATATATTTATTCCAGGGATCCAAACCGAACTTAAATCAAACCGTTAAACCGCTAAAAACCGGTATTTTTTATCGATCCTGAACCGAATCTAAACCGCTAAAAAATTTCTAGCTGGACCTGAACCGAACCGATAAAATGCCTCTGAACCGGTTCGAGCCTCATGATTTTATTCTTATAAAATAATATATAGTTATTATTAGCATACTGAAAAAATTTCAATTATTTTCGAATTATTTTAAAGATTATCATCAATCACATTTGATTGATAAGTGTCGGTTCTAATTTTTATAAACACTAATGTATTGTCATTTTACAACTTTTTTTAAATATTTTAAGTTTATAAATTAAAATGCATAGAGAAAAATGAAATCCAAAATATTATTATAAATGACATATCAAATCTGATATCATATTGGCAGTGCCGACTACCCAAGTTAGTGTAGAAAGATGTTTTTCACAATTAAATTTATACTGTCTCCTTATAGATGTAATTTGAGTGAAACGAATTTTGAAAATATATTAATTGTACGGCTTAATAAAAAAAAATTTAAGTATAAAAAAGTGAAATATTTTTCATATTAAAATTAATCATTGATATTTATTTCTATATTTATGAATTAAATAATTAATAAATGAAGGTTTTATACATGTGTTTTTTAAATTAATGATAAAATAAAAAATATATTTTCCCTATACATAATTCGAATGTAGGTTTAAATACAAGTGTTCAAACCGGTTTTTAAGGATCGAACCGACCCGAACCGAATCTATTCGTTTCGGTTTTATTTTAAATTTTTATGCTAGCTGTTACCATTAATGTATTTTTCTAAATCTTAAATCATATTTGAGCGAGCCTTTTATAAATTTATAAATTAAATTTTACCGGTTATTTCAAAGATATTTAGAGTAAAATTATCCTATTTCTATTGATTTTTATCTATAAATTATAAATACTTCAAAGTTCTAAGGCAAAAATTTGAAATTTATAGGGTATAACATCTTATCAAAAAATTCTTTAAATTTTTATAACATTGACTTAAACACGACGTTATCATATACATATTTTATCAAGGTTAATTCGTTTGCCCAAATAAAACAAAATAAATTTTAGGTTTGGCACAATTTTATGTCAAATTATTTCTATCTACAGTATTTGTTAAGGAAACTAAAATCTTAAAAATATAATAGTTTAGGTGACCTAGGAACTCAGGTATAAATAACTAGTAAAAATAAAATGAGAATACTATCGTTCAGCAGCGTCTACATGAGCGGGAGGGGTAGGAACAGTTAGCATCCTATTTTTTGAGGGGGGTAGGAGGCAGGCTGCTTTAATGGGGGTAGGATAAAAGATTTTTTTTTTTTGGGGGGGGGGGGGTTTATCTATTAAATTTTGAGATAAAATAGGACAAAATTTGTTGCTGTAAAAATTAATACTTTAATTATAGAAATATTATTACAATTCATCGACCAAATCTATATATTGCAAACTATCATACACATTGTTTTCCAAATAAAACTCTATCCTTTTAAATGTAATTTTTAGATAATGTCATAAGAATTAATTCATTGTAAATAATGGAGGTTTTAATTGAATTTATTATCTAAAAATAAATTCTTTATATTCACAAAATATCGATAGTTGGTAGTAGAGGTAGATTTTAAGTTATCCTATATAAATTCTCTGAAAAGAGTATCAATAAATTAAAAAGGCAAAAATAATAATAAGGAAACACCGCCGGCAAAGACGCCGGGAATTTTGTAGAGGGGTAGGCAAATGTTTTTGAAGGGGGTTTTGCATCCAGTGGAAATCCTGTCATGTAAACGCTGTCGTTCAGGCAAATTTAGATTTTATAATCAAAGTTTTAAAAAAACCATCTTTAGAAAAAAAGAATTTTTACCTAAAAAATGACAAAATCTTTTTTTAAAAATACTTCTATTAGTAACTATATTGTTAATTTTGTGCACAAGATGTAAAAAAAAAATTTTTTTCAAACTGATTATAAAGGATGTCAAATATAATAGTAAAATTAATTATTCCTCACTAATATTTTAATTTTTATGAGTTTTTTTCAAAGATCAGAATCCGTACGAATTCTTTAGCATCCGATCCAATTATTTAATATTGGCTTCAGTTAAAATGGTAAGAATTTTTTAAAAGAAGGAAAAACGAAGAGATATCAAGATAGGGAAGGGGGAATCGGAATTGGTTTTATTTAATATTTTATAAAAGCATCAAAAATAAATAATTTTCCTTTCAAAAACTTACCACCGATTGAAATCTGTTGTTAAGATCAAGATCTGACCCTGACCATGTAATACGCCCGATTCTATTATGGTCAAATCAAGCAGGTCAAAGCACCTTTAATGGTAGAAAATAATTCATATAAATGAAAATTTGTTTATTGCTAAACTTGATATAATATTTTTAAAAAATTTAATTAAAAATTTAATTTAATTTTTGGTTATGAAGTTCACCTGGGTTTGTTTTTAAGATGCGTCCAAAATGTTTTTAAAACATCGTTAAAATTTTAAAATTTTCGCAAAATTAATAAAAAAAACACTTAGGACACATTTTCGTTAAAAATTAAAATAAAATATTTAAAATGCTTGATATGATTCAATTATTAGTTATTTATTATATAATATTTCAAGATACGACTGAACATAGAAATACCCTTTATTAGACTTTATAACGAAACCTTATAAAAACCATTTAGATGCCCAAAAAATAAATTATAGTAATAAATTATCTTGTGTTAGAGTCTCAGTTCAGTGATGCTTTAGGATTTTAACTGCCAAATTTTGGCATCTTCATAATTTATCTGAAACTAACTTAGTTAATACAATTCAAATTGTTAAGGCAGATTGCCTTTTACATAATGTAATAATAGATATAGAGGGCATTCAAAATATTGAAATGAAGAATGTCCTTTACCAGATTTTAATGATCAATACCATCGCTCAAATTATAACTCTAATAATATAAGAGACACATTTCAAAGATATGTAAATATTTAATTGTATTTATTTTATATTTTACTTATTAAACTTTGTATATGATAACATTATTTTAATTAAAATTTTATTATAAAAATTTTAAAAATAAATAAATTTGGTATCGGTCTGATTATCTTTGTTTTGTCATCAAACTATTTAGCGTTAAATGGCAAATTTTTTTTTAAAATTTAATTAATATATTTTTCTAGAAAATTGTAAAATAAGACAATATTAGCAATATTCTCAACTTAGTATTAGCGAGATTCTATTATCAAATATTTTTCTGAACCTTAAAGGCAAAGGTAATTGTTTTAATTAAAATATATTACATAATTATTGTTTACATATATATTTTTCTAGAAAATTGTAAAATAAAGAACAATATTAGCAATATTCTCAACTTAGTATTATCAAGATTCTATATTAGTATTAGCAAATATCTGAACCTTAAAGGCAAAGGTAATTGGTTTTAATTAAAATATTTTACATAATTGTAAAATAAAGTACAATATTACCAATATTCTTAACTTAATATTAGCAAGATTCTATATTAATATTAGCAAATATTTTTCTGAACTTTGAAGGCAAAGGTAATTGTTTTAATTAAAATATTTAACATAATTTTTCTAGAAAATTGTAAAATAATGTACAAAGCAATATTCTCAACTTAGTATTAGCAAGCTTCTATATTAGTATTAGCAAATATTTTTCTGAACCTTAAAGGCAAAGATAATTGGTTTTAAGGATTTTATTTATTATTTTCGATATTTGCAAATATTTGACTGCAAGAAGAGGAAGTATTTTACAAAATAATATGAAATATTATCTTTTAAATTTTATTATAATATTATATTTTAAATTTTATTATAATATTATATTTTAAATTTTATTATAAATAGTTAATTAAAAATTTTAATATATTATCTTTTAAATTTTATTATAAATAGTTAATCAAAATTTTGTTAATATATTTTCTTTTAAATTTTATTATAAACAGTTAATCAAAATTTTGTTAATATATATTCTTTTACATTTTATTATAAATAGATAATCAAAATTTTGTTAATATATTATCTTTTAAATTTTATTATAGTTAATCAAAATTTTATTAATATATTTTCATTTAAATTTTATTATAAATAGTTTATCAAAATATTTTAATATATTTTTCTTAATATCATTGGGAAGAAATGAAGAGATTGTGCCTTATTTAATAAATCATGCACAAGAAGATCGAGAGGATGATCTTTTTGTTTTACCATTTTTGGATGAAAGTTTTATAGATGAAGAATTGTAATCGATGTCTTCATTGCAGCTGGTAGCTATTTAATTTTACCAATATCATAACATTTATTTCTCATATTTAAATGAAACAGCCATATTTTGAGAAAGTAGAACCATTATTTTCATTTATTTATTTCTATACTTCTATACAATATTCATATGATACAACAACATAATTAGAAGATGGCGATTATAATTATAAGATAATGGATAAGTGTGTACATAAACAACACCTATTATATTAATCGTAAATATATATATATAATCATATCCAATTGGCAAATATAATATACAATATAATAAAATATTAGACTAGATTACTTCTTTACTACATTTCCTCATACGTTAATTGAGAGATGTCTAAATCTCTTCAATCATTCGTTTCGGGGGCTTATGTATCCGATCTCGCCTTGGGGCCGCACACTCTCTCTGATCGCTGTCAGCGATCACGTGCTCCGTCGTATCTGCTATCAAACGGTCTCTTAATTGGTCAGCATGTTTCCGTATTACACGATCTGGGGTCTTGACTACATAGGAATATAATCCATTTCTATCCTGAATCACTCCTTCTCTCCAACCCTTAGTGGTTTCATTCCTTACCCATACATGCTGGCCAACATCAAATTCCCTAAAATTGGAATGTGTATCACGTTCTTGATTTTGTTTATCCTTGGCTTTATCAATCTCCTTTCCCACCTCTGGTCTAGCCCAGTCGAGATTACTTCTTATTTGACGACCGAACATAATCTTCGCTGGTGACCTACCCGTCGAACTATGTTCTCCCAGCCATACGCTGCTACCGTTTGAGTCATCGCCTCTTGTGGGTCATTAATTGATTCTCGACTGGCATAATACCTCCCTTTTAAAGTTCGAATGGTTCGTTCCGCCTGCCCATTTGTCTTCGGGTGGTACGGCGTTGAGCGAATGTGGCAAATGTTGTTTTCTTCACAAAATCGCTTAAATTCTATTGAAATAAATTGAGGTCCATTATCCGTTACAATGCTTTTAGGTACCCCAAAGGTAGCAAACCACTTCTTTAATCTCGTTATCATCTCCTTCGCCAATGTGTTTTTCATTAGGTCTACCTCAACCCATTTTGAGTATGAATCTACTCCCACTAGCCAATATAAAGAGTCAACCGGTCCCGCAAAATCTAGATGTATACGCTCCCATGGCTCTTTAGTACAATTCCATGAGTATAGTGGTAATTCCATTACGTTTGGTCGATTTTTCTGACATCCAACACACAGCTTTATACACTGTTCTATGTCCTCTTCGCACTTCGGCCACCAACAATACAACCGGAAAATAGATTTCATCGCGTTCATTCCCGGATGTCCCCGATGTAGTGTTTCTAACACTGAATTCCTAAGTTTCGTAGGGATTATCAATCTACCATTTCGTTCAACTATTCCCCTGTCTACTGTTAATTCCTCTCGTTGGGTGTGAAAAATTACTAACTCCGGTTCTTCTTTCCGATTAAAACCTCTCCACCCTTGCTCAATATGTTGTGCCACTCGCTTTAATATTGAATCTTTAGTTGAATACTTGCGCAGGTTTCCCTCTGAGACCTGCATATCCTCTAAGTTTACGTTCCGAATTGCCAATGCATGCTTGGTATCCCGATTAGGTATTTTATCGTGGAGCGGTAGCCTAGATAAGGCGTCTGCTATAACATTCTCCCGACCAGATCTATATTCCACGCTAAAGTCGTAAGCGGCCATCTTCCAGGCCCAACGTGTCAGACGATTGTTCGATATCTTTGGCAGATCCCTCTTTTCCCCGAACAACCGTTCCAAGGGTTTATGGTCTGTCCGAAGTTTAAATTTTCGACCGTAGATAAAATTGTGGAATTTTTCTATTCCAAATAACAATGCCCTCGCTTCTTTATCGATAGGCGCATAATGTTTCTCCGACTGTAACAACGTCCGAGACGCGAATGCTATGGGTTTTTCCCCGTTTTGTGAAACCTTATGAAGTAAAACAGCCCCCAGTCCTGTATCTGACGCGTCACACTCCATAATCAACGGTAATTTAGCATTATACGGCGTTAAGGTTTCTTCCGCTGATAACAATGTCTTAACCTTATCGAAAGCCTCCTGCTCTACATTAGTCCAACACCATGGTACTTTTACACTAGTCAATCGATGTAACACAGCTGCTTCACTATGAAGATTGGGAATGAACCGTTCATGATATGTGACAAGCCCAAGAAATGAACGTAACTGATGAACATTCTTGGGGTTAGGTGCGGCCTGGATTGCTTTAACTTTCTCTTCGCTTGGATGTACCCCATTTTGGTCGATAACTATACCTAAAAATGAAACAGATTTCCGTAGAAATTGGACCTTTTCAAATTTAGCTTTGAGGCCGGCTTCCTGCAGCCTTTCGAGTACTATTTTTAAATTAGCCAGGTGTTCGGCGTCATTTTCGCCGGAGATAATTACATCGTCCAAATACACTTCAGTCATCGGGCAATCTTTCAAAACATTGTCCATGTAACGCTGGAAAATAGGGTGCACACGAAAGCCCAAACGGCATCCTTCGGTATCGAAAATATCCTTTATGTGTTGAGATGACCAAATATTCTTGGGATGGCTCAACGGCCATTTGTAGATACGCGTCCTTTAAATCTATCACCGTAAAACGGTTCCCCCCCTGAATCTTAACCAATAAGTCATCAAGTGCAGGAATAACGTGATGATCATATAATAGATGGGGATTTAGACTCACCTTGAAATCTGCGCAAATACGAATCTCGCCATTGTTTTTTCTGACATTTACTGTTGGGGTTGCCCATGGCACCCTAGTTATAGAGGAATCGATGGGCTCCAAAATCTCAGCAGCCACAAGGCGACCCAGTTCTAGTTCAACCGCTCTGCGTAACGGAAATGGCACTCGACGAGCTGGAAACGATTTTGGAACAGCCGTATCTTTTAATTTAAGTCGCACCGCGTAATTACGTATCAACCCCGGTTTGCCGTCAAAAAGAGCTTTAAACTGTTTAGCTAACAAATGCCCCATTGAGTCTTCCGTTAGTGACATCCTCGATCCGTGTGAGCATCGATTGTATTCGAA